CCAACGTAATGGTATCAAGTCATCTTCCTGAACTGACACCAGTGAGTGAAGTGACCTGGAAGAAATCTAGGCTGAATTACTCTTTTCAAGTTCATGTTTGGGGACTTATATCAGATATTCACTGTAGGATTGGGAGCCTAATGATAAAATTAGCTACTTTGAGCTAATTATTATGACTTTTGGAGTTTCTCAGGGAATGTGAGAGAGGAGATGATGAACAGATGTGATTAGGGCCATTGGAGTTCTTGTTGTTATTTAGGGCCTACATATTATTTGCCTGGCTTCACTGTTCCCATTCTTGATCAGTGACTCATTAGCCACTATATACACACTGTCACAAACCCTTTACCTGGATTTCTCTTCCACTTTTAGATATGGGACCTATTCACATGGATATTTTAAGAAGCTGGGAATTCCAGGGCCAACACCTCTGCCTTTTTTGGGAACTATTCTTAATTATCGCCAGGTGAGTGTTATTTGAGCTCCCTGTTTTGCCTCTTATGGTTGCAAACATCTGCTTAGTTACATCAGTAGAAATTAAGCTCTGTGAGGGAAGTTATAAGAGTTCTAAGCTTCAGAAACTATGTGAGGGCCCCATCCAAAGCACAGTCAGTTTTACCCTGGGGCTCTGTTTACAACTCCTCCTGGCCTCAGGTTCACTTCTGTTGATGAGCTCAGGACTCTGGCACATTCACACTCTAAGCTGTGGACTTTATGTTCAGCAGACTGTGAGCATTCTCACAGAGTTTTCATTTTTCTCAGTGCAGATTCTAGGAAGACACACTCAAACCTCTGGGATGCTTTATTTTCACAGTTAAAATGTTACAAATGAAACTTGGCATGAGGAAGATTGATTGCTTAGTTTCTATGATGAAAACTCAGAGCCAGTGTCTAACTATCTGTGTCCTATGTGCAGAGAGATAGCTCCATTTTCCAAGTTGAGCTCCAATACAGAAAGGCAAGTCCACTTTTATTTGCTCACTATGTCACTTACTTACTCAACAAGATGATTGTGATAACATAAATCTCCTAGGCTAGAAGAGGTTCCTGGTGCCTTTACTCCCTAATTCTACCAGAATTCTAGAGAAAACATGAGATAAATTAAAATGATACTCAACGAGGACATAAAAGATCATTTATAGCCCTGGGAAACACTCATTTTCCCTCATCCTGGGTTTCCTCATGTGCTCATGAAGGTCATCATTCTCAAGGTCCCAGTATTTCTGAGACAATACAAGGAGACCAAGTACTGTAGAAGAGAAGGTTGTCATATTCATAGACAAGGGTAATTGGTTGAGTATAAATAATACTTAGAGAAAATTCAAGTGACTTTACATATTTCATTTCAAACATTGCATATTTTCTCTATTCTCCTCAGAAGCCTCTGAGTAAGAATCAAGCCTGATTTCATGGGATTTGGGTCATTTAATGCAATGTCAGTACATTTGCAACAGTAATGTAATTTCATTTTGTTCTTCTTCCTAGGGTTTGTCTAATTTTGACACAGAATGTTATAAAAAGTATGGAAAAACATGGGGGTGAGTATTCTGGAAATTTCTCTTTGGAAGACTTGTTATGATATGGTGCCCCAATGCGTGAGGACAACCTCAGCCATGAGCTTTTGGGATGCAACCCTCTTTGCTGCACAATCCTTGGAGGCTTGTCCTGCCAAGGGTCCTGCATGTCACCAAGAGTCTGGGTCTACAATCTGACTTAGGTTGAGAATGTTGCATATTTTCACTTTTCTCTTGCTTTTGATGACCCAGAGACTCCATCCTGACTTCGTGTCCAATGTCCTATCTTCCCCATTTTTCTTTCTTTTTGACCCCTTTAGCTGAATAAAATGTATTATTTGAGAACTTTTTTTTAAATCATAGGCTTACAAATCTATGGCATCATATTTTTCCTCCATTGATTTCCTTTTAATTTAAAGACAAAATTCCCTTATTAAATATTCAGATTTAATGTATGCCTTTGGTCAAAAGGCTGGAAGGTACTGGGAAGCTAATGGGAAACCATTCCTGCTCATCTTTTTTTTTTTTTAATTTCCTTTACTTTCTTTCTTCTTTTTATTTGTCATCATTATTGTTGCCCATATGCAATTTTTAAGTTTTCAGCATTGACTTTTCAATGAAGTAGACCCAAGCATTTCTTTCTCTCCTTCATCCATTATGTAAAGACCAGACATAGGATGTAGTTACACCACTGAGTTCCCTGGTGGATTGATGAGATTTACATTGGAGTGTGGCCTTATCTAATTGTAGCAACTATTCCCTTCAGAGCTGGTGGAAGTTTGGTGAGAGCAATAGAAGAGGTGTAATCATTTTTCTCTACACTAAAAATACTGGTAGAAGACATTGACTCTTCTCCATCTTCTCTCTTCAATCTCCCAAAAGCCACAGGGCTGGCTAGAGTGTTCTACTCAGTTGACATGCCCATAGATACCATGTGATCCAAGGACACAACATGCCCCACTGGATCTCCAAAGCCCCCATTTCAGCTACCACTTGAGAAACTTAGTAATTATGAAAGTCAATTATCTGCCTAATTTTTTTCTTTACTAACCTAATAGCCTTTTGAATAATCCAATATTTTTGTGATGTAAAATGTTATATAGACTATGGGCTGAGGCTGGCTCTCAGTGGCAGGGCGCTTGCCTATATCATATGTGAGGCACTGGGTTTGATCCTCAGCACCACATAAAAATAAACAAATAAGGGCATTCTGTCCATCTACAATTACAATAAATAAATAAATAAGTTATGGAAATTAATGTAGGCAATACTATTGTATTCACCATCTAGATTTAAGAAGTGTTCCAATGTTATTTCTAATTATGATCTCTTAGAAGATGTATTTTTTCTATGTCCTGTAGACTAGGCATGTATAATAGGTAACATCAGGATCAAAGTCTGGATTTCTGCTGCAGAATCTGGCCTGTTACATTTAACCAGCCCTATTTTTCTAACACAGCCTATATGATGGTCGACGGCCTGTTTGGGTTATTACGGAGCCAAGCATTATCAAAACAGTTCTCATCAATGAATGTTATTCTGCCTTCACTAACCGGCGGGTATGCATTCACTTTTCAACATTTTAACATTTATTTAGTTATTTTTAAGTTTTTAATTTATTCTTTTCAATTATACATGACACTAGAATGTATTTTGACATATTATACATACATAAAGTACAACTTCCCAAGCCTGTGTTTGTAAATAATGTGGAGTTTCTCTGATTGTGTATTCATATATGAACATATGAAAGTTATGTCTGATTAATTCTACAGTCTTTCCTATTCCCATCCTCTCACTCTATTCTTTGTTTCCCTTTGTCTAATCCAAAGTAACATTTATTTATTAATTCAATTTTTATTCTGAGATATTTATAAATTCAGAGGGCATTCTTTGCCAAAAAAATTGCCAGGCAATTGCATGTATAATCTGTTTTACCCAATGATAATTTCTTACATGACTATAAATTTATTAAATTACTTTTTTCTATACTAACAGGAAATTGATAAAAACTAGACTTTTTATTTCCATTTTTCCTGTTTTGTTTGCCTATATGTATGAGTATAGAGCTCTGTGCAAATGTATCACATGCCTACAATTTTTGTAGATAGATTTAGATTGTGTTTTTAATGTGTTTTCACAAATTCTTCATTAACCTCAGAAATATGCCTGGTTTTTTGTGGATAACTACATTGGACAAAGATTGCACCTATAAATAGGAAAAATCCTATCTGTATTTCTTTCATTTATTTGTTTTTATTTTCCTCTGATATTAGCTGGGAGTTCCAGTGTGAGGTTGAATAAGAGCCATAGGAATGAACATTTCTTTTGAAGGATATAGACTTTAATTTTCCAAAGTTTACCCTAATTTTAGATGAGGCTGATGTGTATGTGTGTGGATTCCCATACAATCTCTATCTTCACTTTTTAAAAACTTTGGGTGCTGGGTTTAGCTCAGTTGGTAGAGTGCTTACCTTGCAGGTACAAAGTCTGGGGTTCAATCCCCAGCATCACAAATATATTTTTATAAACTTTGATTAATGTATGACATTTGTGCATAATAATAGGATTTGCTGCTATGTTCAATACACACATATATTCCACTCTGCCCAAATGCAGCCTCTATTTACTTCCCAACATGTCCAAATCACTAATCTACACTCAGATGAACGTTTTTACTTGTCTTT